AGAGTTCCCAATGTTGCTAAGTAAAAAAGCAGATTTCAAAAATCTCATCAGTATAACCCTGTTTTCTTAGGGAATAGAGTCAATGGAATGGTAACAGCTCTATACGATGTCAGAGGAGCAGTAGATTGGGGGAGGCGGGTTATCGCTTTGTGAGGGGTGTAAAGGTCTAACTGTTACATTGTTTTGTACACCTGAAACTTAAAAAAAGAAGTTAAAAACAGACAATATAAAAAAAAAGGAAAAGGGAGAGATGGAGGGAGGGGGAAAAAAAGGAGGGAGCGAGGGAGGGGAGAGGAGATATGTGAATGTATTACCTTACATGGGACTGTATTTCTGAAGACCCTTCAGGTCCTTCCCTGTACAGAAAGGAAAATGACAACGGTAAGGACGAAATAGGGTACTGCCTGTTAGACTTCATTTCCCCTGAGCCAATCCTGGCGATGGTGCCACAGGCAGCTGGCACACCAGAGGGTGGAGCTGGCAGTAGGGAAGGTGGGGCCACAGGATGGGAGTAATAGATATGAGGTGTGCAGCTGTACATGGAGAGCTTCGATCTACTGCTGTGTCACTATTGGTAGGTGGCTCTTTGTAAAGAGTACAAAATTCCAGCTATGTACCTGATACAGATATTGCTTAAATATATAGTTAGCTATGGATACACACATACACGTGTGTATGTGTGTGTTTGCGTATTTTCTATCATGCACAAAGCTTATTGGGATAAGAACGGATACAAAATCAAATTTAAAGCCCATGGTCTTTTACGGAGACAGCCATAGGGTGCTCCCTCCATCCCAGGGGACAGGAGCCTTTAAATTCAACACTCAACTCCTACATTGTCACCAGTAGTTGCCATCGTTAGAACTGTGTCTGTCAACATGTTGGCATTTTGACCGGTATTAAATTTTTAAACATGGGGTGGAGGCAATCCAAGCTCAAACATATTCAGGAAGCTGAGTGAAAAATTAAATAGCGTTCTTTATCAGAGGCTTCCTTGGAATCTTACCCATGCTCCAAGAATCCGTTGGAGAGAAATACAGTAAGTCCTCACTTCACATCGTCCATAGGGTCTTGGAAATTGACTTTAAATGAAACCACCTTTTACCATTGGCTAATTGAGACAAACAAAAGTTCCTACAGCATATTTCTAAATAAAGACCCCAAACATTTCTAATATGAAACTTTGAAATGAAGGTGAGCTATACACACATTTGAGAAAGATGAATCAAAACAAGTCAGATAATGGATTCTAGTTCAGGGGCCCGGGTGGCCATAGCCTCTCCCAGCAGCTCAGGGTGCCAGGCCGGACCCACCTGGACAGGACGCCCTTCCATCTCAGGGCCTCTCACACCCACCCACTCACTCAGATGGGGACAATGGAGAGACAGGATAGTCACCTCATGTGCACGTCTCTGGAACGTGGGAGGACACCGGAGTCCCCGGAGGAAACCCACTTAGTCCTGGGGAGACCTGCAAACCTCACGCAGACAGTGTGGCCCAGCCAGAAAGACATTTTCGTTTTCTCATCAACATTATAACAAAACACCACTATCTGAGGACCTGCTGTACACAGGCTCACAGGCGCTGGGATTAGAAACACTTACAAGCACGACCCCCACTGGGCAGTGAGCCATGTTATGCTGGGTCCGTCTATTGATACGATATTGGAACTCCACTTTAAAGCTCCTTTCAAGATACCAGGTGAAAGGACTCAAGTTAGGATGAGATATGAGAAAAAGGTCTTTAGATGAGGCGAAAAATGGGAAAAAAATATATCAAGTTTTCATTCTGAAATAATTTCAGACTTACAAGAAAGTTGCAAAGAGCTCAGAGATCTGGCCACACACACCCAGACAGAAACTTACATACCCTGGTACTATGAACAGAATCAAGACATCAACGCTGACACAATGCCATGACCTACAGAACTTCACCAACGGTCCTTCGTCTGGCCCAGGAGTCACTCTGGTCACACAGCACATCCTGTCAGGTAGGTTGCCTTTGGTTTCCTCTAATTTTGAACCTCACCTCTGTGTATCTTTCAACACCGCAGCACCTTCCAAAAGAACTGGTCAGTTTTGCTTTGTTTTGAAAGAAGCCCCCCCACTTTGGGTTTGTGTGATGTGTTTCTAAAAAGAACGTCTCAGAAGGGAGGTCGTGTCCATCTTTGAGCTTCCTCCATGCAATGTCCACTTGTCTCATTCCTGAAGTTGTCAACTGTGCAGACGAGAACGGGCTTCCCCGCCTCCCCTACGTGGTCCTTGCTAAGGCGGATGACACCATTTGGCTGAATTTTATCACCAGGTTTAATTGAGGAACGGGTTCACCATGCAGCTCATAAGCTTAACCTGCAGAGCTTCTCACGGCCTGGTCCTTTCAAGGTCCTGGTGGGGCCAGCCAGCAATGTGATCGCACGATCCTATGCTTTGGTGTAATTTGCCAAAGGTATTTTCATGGCATTCAGTTAAGTCCACCATCTCTTTCCTCTCCACCTTCCTTTCCACCTCACTCTCCCGTTTCACGTGGTATCACAGGCGTTTTCGGGATCTGGCAGAGAGGTAGCCGAGTGGGAACACAGCATGGATTTAGTGGGATACATTTATGTGGGTTGTGAATATTCAAGATGCAGCATATACAAGAATAAACACCGTGCACTGCTTTGCTTCCTCTTATTTATTTTAACCTTATTGGGGAACATTGTGTTTTTCCCAGGACCCATCGCTCCAAGTCAAGTTGTTTTCCATCAGTCTTAGTTGTGGAGGGTGCAGCTCAGCTCCAAGTCCAGTCACCATTTTCAATCTAGCTGCAGGGGGCACAGCCCACCATCCCATCCAGGAGTCGAACTGGTGACCTTGTTGTTAAGAGCACGTGCTCTAACCAACTGAGCCATCTGGCCGCCCTGCTTTCTTTTAATGGGAGATGCAGGAAACACTCGGAATGCCTGTGCTTGCAGGGTACAGGCCTGTGGCAATCAGGAAAATGGAGCGAGTGTGATGTGTCCCCCTGCTGTAGACTGTGTGGCTCAGTGTACCCAACTCAGCTAGTCCTAAAGGAGTCCGAAAGCCCACGCCAGAGCACACACCAAAGTGTCAGGCATATACTCCATCAGTCTGAGCACACAGGAGCTCAGGGGCAAAACCTACCCGTTACCATCAGTGGGACACTGGATGTGGCACAAGGGTCACCAGGTCACACGCCTGCATAGCCCATCATAGCAGCAGCCTACAGCTGTGCTTAAACTGCCCTTTTGTATTAACTGATCATTTCAGAACTCAAAGACAAGCTGACGTAGCCAGGAAGAAGCCAACGGTAACAATGTGTATGGTACTTGGGCGCTTTTTAAAATCTGCAGTGTGTGTGAATGTTTTCCTGTTCTCAATATATTCACTCTTCTACCTCATCTTGAATATTTTTTACTTTTTTATTTTTATTGGGGAAGAGCCATGGTCACTGGTTACACATTGCTTTCATGCTACAATGGCATAGTTGACTCTTTCAGGGAGGGCGCAGCTCACAGTGGCCCATGCAGGGATCGAACCGGCAATCTTGGGGTTATCAGCACCACGCTGCATCAACTGAGCTAAACAGTCACCCCTTGAATAATTTTTATTATTCAAGGAGCCCCTCCCTCTCGATCATCTAACCGTCAGGTCCCACAGACCTGCTCCATAACAGAAGCACTTCAAATCCCCCCAGCAACCAAAAGCTATCACCGTGTCTTGGGTGGTTTTCACATTCTGCTTCTGAGGCAGGGAAGGATTTTTCCTCTGGGTCCAGGCTAGCGCGATGAAAATGGAAGAGCAAACACTTACAAGGCACTTTTCTGAACCCAGTTCAGCTCTAAGCATGTTAACATGGATCAGCTCACTTGATCTCACAACAGCTCTTCTCCAATGACAAAGGAGGAAAGTGAGGCTTGGAGAGGCTAGGCCACGTGCTCGCGGCCATTCGACTAGGAAGTGACAGAGGTGGCTTGGCTGCAGGCACTTGGCTTCCAGGTCAGGATACTTTTTTTTTTTTTTTAAGATTTTTATTGGGGAATTGGGGGAAGGGGAACAGACAAGTTGCTGTCTTTTTGTTCTTCAGTCTAGTTGTGGAAGACGTTGCTTCACTGGCCCAAGTTGGCATCATCATTGCGCTCTTCCCGGGCGAGGCAGATCAGTTGCCAGCTTCTGGACGGCCGCTCACTGCAGCTGCTGGCCGCTCACGCTGGCCGCTGGCTACACACGGTAGCCCATGGCAACCCACTGCAGCAGGGACTGCAGCCTACGCCGTCGCCGGTGACCCACGGCAACCCAGCTCCAGGTTGAGCTGCTGTTCAGCATCTTAGCTGTAGAGGGCAGTGTCACTGGCCCTCATATGTGGGATCCGAACTAGGGCCCTTTGGCATCCCAAGCCAGTTCTTAACCAACGCGCCACTCGGCTGGCCCAAATCAGGATACTTTTGACAGCCCCAATTCTTCCCATCTCCTGGTATCCACACTCGGCCGGCCACAGGGCTTTACAGTTCCCTTCACTACGGAGGTTGGGTATGTCCCACTCCCTTCGACTGTGGGTTGAGCAGTGGGACTTGCTCCAGCAGTGGCAGCTTAGTAGATGTCCTAGGACCAGAGACATGAAAAGAACCTTTGTCACCAGGTTTGTTCTCGTGTGCACCTGCCATGGACACACCCAGGCCAGACTGCTGGCCCGAGGGAGATGACAGGCTCATGGAGCAGAACCGCTGATCTACAAATTCACAAGCTACAGAAATACTTTTCCCTGGACACTGCCAAGATTTTATAGCTGTTTGTTATACAGCATTACCGCAGCAGCAGCTAACCGATACAACCCGTGTCCCGACTTTTCCTGACTGCAAAGTGATTGGCCTTAACTAGACTAGCATAAGGAGTTACACACATACAATCAATCGCACACAGTCAAAGGCTTATGACATATGATGAGGACATTCTCATTCTTCATAAAGAGATGTAATGTAGGTAAATCAAAGACACGCTCCATTCACTCAAAGACACTATTTATTTTGTTAATGTCAAGCAGGGTGATCTGTTGGGAGGTAAGTGGTTAAGTGTCGGGCATGAAATCTGTACACATTTTTCCACAGTGAACTGCAGGATACAAGCCACAGGCAATGGCCCTGACTGAAAACTCACTATACAGAACGTTCCACGGCTGAGCTATGACAGAGAGTGAGGAATCAGCCACCACCTACGGATGTCAAGGGCGAAACATTAGCACCAGATTGTTTTTATATGCAATAAGATAACTATATACAACGTTATGTACAATGACTCACTGAAATCTTTGGGTCCCTGCTAACCAGACATGTCAGAGGCAGCCAGGGGGGTGGGCGGGACCACTGTGATCACAGGTGCTTTGCTCAAAGGGTGATAGCATCTATATTGCTATGTATACGAAAGTCCTCAAAAGACATCAAAAGGCTGGATACAGACACACAAATTCTATTATTCACATTTTACACACGTATCATCATAAACGATCACAATACTGCATCAGAGGGGAAAGAATCACAGAGAAAAGCTTTGCCTAAATTAAAAACCAAACACCCTGAAATCAGTGTGGTTGTCTCCCCGGAGGAGAAAGATGGAGGTCCATGGACAGCCAGCTCAACCTTTTCGGATGTGACCCGTTTTCACAGTGAGTGACTACACCAGGTGGAACGGAGGAGGGCACTTCATTGGCAGGTGTTTCAAGTCAGATATAGCTTAACTTAACAGGCATGAAAACGTCTAAAAAGGCCTTTCTCTTTCTGGCGTGGGTAGGTTGCCAAAAAGAGTGTTTCTGGCCTGCATTGCTGAGGTATGCCTGTTTCGACCCCTCTAAGGGCACGTTGATGTCAAGACAGTGGCCCAGGAGTCTGGCTCATGAAGCGAGGACAACGGTCCTTAAGACATTTGTGTGTGTGTGTGTGTGTGTGTGTGTGTGTGTGTGTGTGTGTGTGTGTGTTTTGCTAAGGCAGCAGTCACTGCTGACAAAGAGACGTCTCCCCACCTGTTGGAAACTTTTTATGGGAATGAGGAGAAACAAGGATTAAACGGATCCCTCCATCAAACAAATGTCCACATACTACCTTGACATGAACTCATCCGAGGGGTTCTCCCACTGTTAATCACGCATGTAAGCAGACAAGCATCTGTGAAGAAATGTGCCTACGATGATTTAGGTAAAAGTACGTACGTTATAATCAAGCCACTGGTAGTTGGCCATCTTTCTCCTATGCTTATCTCCCATCCCTATCTCATCCTCTTTGGTGAATTCTTTTGCCCACATTTTTATTGGGCTGTTTGTTTTCTTACAGTTGAGTTTTCAGAGTTATGTATTCTGGACACAATTCCTTTGTCACATATAAGATTGGCAAACATTTTCTCCCAGTCTGCAACTTGTCAACTGGAAATCGCCAGCATGACAGACAGTGTTTTGTTTTTAAGTGAATAGACCCTCTTTAGAACCTTGCAATTTCAACCAAGAAAAAGGGCAGAGTACACTCGGTGGCAGCAACACTGTATAGTCCACGGCAACTCTGAAAAACCAGAGGAAAGGTTCCTATAATACATGGAACGTGGCCCTCACGTCGTGGTGACAGATTTAAAGAGGCGAAAATGGAAAAGTAGCCAATGCTCATTAATGATCCTACACACACAAAACAAATATTCTGGGGGAAAAAGTAATTTAAGAAGTATGCTGTTGGTTGGTGTCAAGAAACAAACATCTAACAAGCACATCACTACTGGACACAACTTTGAGCCAAGTCATTTTACGTCGCAGGAAAACATTTGGGTCGTGCTGTCAGGTGAGACGTACTAAAGCTTATGTGCTTTGTGGGTGTGTTCTCAAGGATGCACACAATGTAAGTGGCCATTTTAGAATGCGTGAACCCAACGCATAGGTTATTCATTTCACAGTTGGTTTTTTAACCACGTGGAAGCTATTCCTCTCTCCGAAATGTTAATAAATTATCATCATCATGGTTTTTGCTGGGTCAGAGAACATCATTATATGACACAGAGACAGTGAACGATCAACACCATTGGACGGACACGGAGAGAACATGGCAGGCAACTCATGCCTCGGATGGATCACAGGAGATGATGTGCGCCGGGGTTTCCCGTCTCGTGCCCCTTAAAGACTCACTCGGCTGCTTCCTGAGTGGTTGGTTTGGCATCTGAAGACGGGAGGAATGGCGGGCGGCCACTGCCAACCACCCCTTGCATGCACTACGGGACGGAAGCCCACGGTCTACACTGCAGAAACTCGCCGTCCACCAGAGCCGAGTGGCCTGTGCTGTCGCTTGTAAAGGAAAATGGCTAACCGTGAGTCACTCTGCTCAGCATTCAAAAGAGAAACTAGACAATTAAATAAACCATCCCAAATAAACACGAGAGTTATTGCTTTTGTGACAGCCATTTCGCTAGGGGCGAAGTCTCACCAGAGGACATCAATACAGGCTGGGGTTTCCACCTGCACCCTGGGGGATGGGGCTCGGAGGTCCGGGCTCCGTGCGCGCCCCGCTGGGGATGGGCCTCCTATTTGCCCCTCTCGGGCTGAAGGCTGTCCAGCAAGCACTTCAGCTGCTCTTCGCCCAGGTGTATCTTATCCTCCAGCTCCCGCTGCTCGATGATAAGGGCTGACTTCATCTTCACAAAGTGCTCATAATCTGCTAGGCTCTCGTCGCTGAGATAGCTGGCCAGGATGTCGAACACGACGCGTTCCCGGCGGTCCAGGTTATCTTTGAGTTCCTTGGCATCTTCATGCTGCTGGACGAGGACCCGCTGCTTCTCGAGCAGTGACTGCTATGAAGGGAGACAGAGACAGACAAGCCCGGTGAGGACCAGGGTGAACGTGGTGGCTGGAGGAAACACCGGAGACTGGGGTTTTGGGGGACTGGGCCGATGACAGAGACCCCAACCTAAATTAGGGAGCAGAGGTCTGACAAGGTGAGCCTGGAAATATGTGAATGTGGCAGCGCTCCTGGGCCCCTCCCACCTGCGACGGCTCCCACCGGCCATGAATGGCTATTGGAAATAGCCATGATGCACACAAGAGTAAGCAGGAGACTAAAAACTACAGAATTTTGAAATGCTCAAAAGGTGCAAAGGGCTTAGGGGTCGTCTGTGTGACAAAGGCCTGACAAGGCTGTGGCCAAGTGGGTACAAGGAACAGATTCTAACAGAATTCCAGGGCAGCACTGCTAAACCCTTCTGGCAAAAGGAGAAGGAGTCCTTTCTAAAGAGGGCACATGAGAGAGCAGGGGAACATAGGAGAGAGACGCACGGCCGTGGGGGCAGGTTCCCTCGTTCCTTTCAAGGGTTCTGCTCTGGGGCACACAGGCGACCCATTCCCAAAATGTGGCACTCACAGCCATGTTCTGCCTGCAGAACACGCCCTTCCATCCCCCACACTTCCCAAGTGTAATGAAATCTAAGAAAGGAACAGATGAGCTCATTACATGTCTTCAAATGTCGGCTGGGGGAGGGGCCAGGAACTCCTCTACTCGCTGTGACTTTCTGATTTTTATTTGGGTGTCACACAGGCACCCTGTTATCCTGTCACTTTGCCACTTGGCCGAAGACAGTTCTTAACGGCCACGTGTGTACATCCAGGATGCGGCCACACTTTGCAAAATGCCGACACTCTGAAAGAGCTTGGTAAGGATGAGCTGTTGTTAGCTGCAAACAGAAAGTGCTCTTGGAGTGAGGCTTCTAGGAACTGCCTCGGACCACACAACCTTGCGGTGTACCTGCCTATTTCTGGGGGACACCCAAACGTCAGGTGCTGGTGAAACAAAGGTATGGTGTATCTGCATGGGAAGAGGCAAGGCAAAGCCAATGAGTTCCAATCCAAAGGGAAAGAGACCTTAACCAATTCCAGAAATTTGGTTCAGGCTACAATCAGCGGGGCTCCCTGGTGGCTAGAAGCCTCAGAGACTGACAGAGGGCTTCATGTGTCCGTTCATGTGTTCATTTTCCTACCTGAAAAGATGGAGGAAGCCTTCCGAAACCTGACTGCACATCTTCTAACTCGTTGGCATATCTGTCTCTGAAAAAGCTGAGCTTCCTAAGGTTTGACCACCTGACACAGAGGTTCTCATGCGACGCTGGCTACAATGGAGACCCGGCCACTGCACTGTATGTGGACGCGATAATGGGATGTGGAAGGTGAAACTGCATCGGCTATGCACAGCCAAGGGGAGTAACCACCTGCCTACTCCTCATTGTCTAAAACGGACCCCTAGGGATGTAGTGAGGGCTACAGGGCCTGGTACTCAGGAAGACCGCATGCATAGTCCCTAGTGTTGTGACCCCTTCTGTCTCGCCAACATTCTAAATCTTGACTGGTTCCACACACGGGGAGGGAAAGGTGGATGAAAGATGAGCTGACTGCAAAGACAATACTATTTTTTCATTTAAATCAACACTTGAGAATTTCCACTTATGTGTACATTAAGTCTCCCTTTCCCGTTCATGTTATTTTCCTAAGTCCCTTCAGATAAGATTGGCAAAGATGGCAAAAACAGCAAAATAGAATATGAACATAACCCAAGGGGATGAGGGTCCGAAGCCCCAGTTGCTTTTTAAACCCTTATAAAGTATGTTCAATGGTAGTTACTCACGACTAGGCTAAGCACAGGTGAGCAGCAATCTCAAAGCGTCGTTCTTTAAGATCTTTCTTTGTAACCCAAACCACTCTTGCCTGGAGTAAAGGGGAAGGGGGGGGGCTTTTCTGTCCCCCTTTTAGAGAAGTTAAGATGTCTTATTACAAAGATGGTCACTGTGAAGACCTATTATGTGCAAAGAACCAAGTTAGATGTGTTGCTGATGTGAAGTAAAGCCGATAAAGTAGATGGCATTTTCCTCAATTTGCATTTGGAAAAACTAAAATACAGGCCCACGGAGAAATGTCCCTAGTCTCCCACATTGGGAAAGGGAGGAAAAGACTTGGACGAGTCCTAAGACTCTCTCTAGCCTACTAGCTGCAGTGTTGGTAGTTACCATCAACAGTAATAATCAAATATGGCTATCAGTGAGGGCTCAGTCTGTCGGAAGTGGGTGAGCGGCACTGAGGCACTTACATGTGGGCAAAGGAAAGTCTCAGAGAGATGATTTCCTAGGAAAGGTCTTAGTGGTGATCAGTGGGGATATGTGAAAATATGTCAAAAAGAATGCCCAGTTCTCCCTGAAGGTCACAGTGACCCTGGAGCGCAGTGACAATGGCTGTCACTCACTGCATGGCTCTCCCTCTGTGACAGGGAGAGACAGTGCCCTCCGCATTCCAGCATCCTCTTGCACTACAAGCTGGACAGGCCCCTGTATGTGCTTTGTGAGGTTCACTCAACAACCCCAAGGAAAACCTCCCCCCCCGCCCCCGATTTCCAGGTCAGACACATCTGTACCTACCCGATCCCCAGGGGAAGTGCTATCATCCAAATTATTGAGGGCGTTCTCCACCCGGGCCAGGCGACCCGACAGCGACAACAGGAGGTTCACCACTTTGTCCAGGTCCCCGATAAACATCCGGAACTTGTCAAACTCGTTGGGTTTGCAGACGTCTTTAGCGATGGCCTCCACCTCGTCCCCAAGAGCACTGTTGGCCTGAATGTCCTCCAGCAGGCTCTCCCGGGCTCCCCGAAGCACGTGCAGCTTGCGCCCGATGCTCTCGATGAGCTCCTGCTGCGGGGAACAGGGCAGCATGCAAGCACTCGTTAGGGTCGCCCCCTGCCCGGGAACCTGGGGCCTCCAACCATCGCAGCAGGCCCGCCGGAGTCCCACCTATGGAACTTGGCTGACCTGGGCACAAGCAACGTTGCATCATCACATAAGACAGGATTTCTACGACCAGGGAAAAGGATAATGGATGCTTCAGTCACGGGCATTTAATTTAGAAATCAAACAAATGAAACCTTTTCCCGTCCTCGTAGTGTTCAATCAGCTTATACCAGAGGTGGCCCCTCCAGGCTGCCCACGGTAAACCTCATTTCAACCTAAATCTTGGCCAAAATGCTCAGGGTCTGTGTGATACTGTGTGTTTCACGCTGTGAAGTTCCCAATGTAAAGACTTCCACATATAGGAGCTATAAGAGTCTTACATCCAGTACTGAAGTCCATGATTAAAAAGCATCTTCTGCATAGAATTAGCAATTAAAAATTAAGACAAATAGGGGCAGCCGGTTAGCTCACTTGGTTAGAGCGCAGGCTCATAACACCAAGGTTGCCGGTTCGATCCCTGTATGGGCCACTGAGCTGCGCCCTCCACAACTGGATTGAGACAACTACTTGACTTGGAGCTGATGGGTCCTAGAAAAACACAATGTTTCCTTCCCCAACTCCCCAACACTGTTCCCTTCCCCAATTTCCAAATAAAATCTTTAAAAAAAAATAAAAATTGATAATGAAAAATAGTAATAATGGAAAATCCACTAATTTGAAAGGCACACACTCTTGGTTTTTCCCCTTGGAAAGACCACATGGCATCTGGACATGGCTTTTTGCTTTTCTAGGTCATCAGGTTCTAGTTGCTCAAGATGTCAGGACATTTTCTTCCCTTAGTAATTTAAAACTGTGTGTCTGGATTTCTTGGATGTTCTCTCTCAGAGTATGAGTCTGTGTGTGTGTGTGTGTGTGCATGCACAAGTGCGTGTGTTCACGCTTGTGCATCTGTCTGGAAAGGGTGTTTAGATCAACTTCGAATCCCGCAGCTGAGAAGGTAGCCATATTTGAGATATTCATCACTTGAAGGGAAAAGCACCAACTGGGTTTCGGGGATAGAGAACTTCCCAAATTCTTGCTGGCCATTAGTCTTAACCTGAACAAATACTGTAAGCATTTTAGATGACTATGGATGAATGAGAACCCCCAGCCAGTGCTACTGGTAATTTTTCAGCTTCACATTCTTCTTTTTTTTTTTGAGCAGGAATAACTACTTTTTTTTTTAATTAGTTTTAGGTGTACAAAATAACATAGCAATTACATATTTATACACCTCACAAAAATGATCACCCCAATAAGTCTGTCTATATTACCCACTGGACACTATAATATATTATAATATATAATATAATATTATTATAATATTGCTGACCTTGTTCACTATGTCGCACTATATATCCCCATAACTATTTTTTTAATTAGAGTTGACATTTGATATTATTTTATACTAGTTTCAGATGTACAGCATAGTGGTTAGACATTTATGTAATTTATGAAGTGATTCCCCCTGATAAGTCTAATGCCCATCTAGCACTATACATAGTTATTGTATTACTGATTATATTCCCCATACTGTATTTCACATCCCCATGACTATTTCGTGACGACCAATTTGTATTTCTATTCCCTTCCCCTTTCTCACTCAGCCCTGCAACTCCCTCCCACCTAATACCATCAGTTTTCGTCTCTGTATCAATGAGTCCATTTCTGTTTGTTCGTTTAGTTTGTTTCTTAGCTTCCACATATAAGTGAGATCATATGGTATTGTCTTTCTCTGTCTGACTTATGTCACTCAGAATAATACCCTCTAGGTCCATCCATGTTGTCACAAGTTGAATTCATGATTTTTTAGCAATTACACTAATGAAGATTTCATGCCAGTGCATGAAAATGTGCCTTCAAAACGTCCAGTATCAGCTGGGCTACCTTGAAATCGGGCACGCTGGCAGGAGCTCAAATTCCTTTAGCGATTCCTTTATATATGTCTCACGTCAATTTTTATTAGAAACGCTTTCCTCTTCTTCCTTAAAGGGCCATTCTATGAAGTGCAGACATTGACTTTCAAAGATTTCTGAGATGAGATTTACTAGCCTGGGCAGCATACAAATCAATGGCTCTCAGGTGCTGAAGCCTTCGCCCAAGTTAGAATAAGTGACCAGCAAGCCTATCCACCAATTTTCTGCAGCAATGGCATTCAGGAAGCAGGTGGTGGCAGAAGCTGGCCTGGGTCTCGGCAGAGGCATGGCTGCCTCTCAACTGTCAGCCCCACACCCTACCTTTTGTCCCAGTCTATGGGGGAAATGAGGTCTTTTCTCTCTGCACCTTGCACCCTGCTCTTGGTTCTAAGGAAAACCCATAACTCTCAGCGATTCCAGACGTCACCCAATCTGCCATGTTTGGTTCTCCAGAAGAAACCCCACAATTCAACTGAGGCACTTTCTGAGCAGGGTCTGCCTGAGCTGCCCCGGTATGGCAACGTGCGTAGCATTCCTAGTATTATGCTTCCCACCAGCCACCTGAAGTCCCTCGCTGCGTCCCTATATCGAGGCTTCCCTTTTCTTGTCTCTGTCCTCAGTCTCCTAAAACAAAGGGCCACCTGATTTGGCACTCGGCTCTATGACCACCCAGGGTCGCTGGGACCATACCAGCCCAGGTCCCTCTGGAGATGCTTGGTGTACGTGGAGTTAGGGTCTTGCTGTTTTACCACTGAGAGGCCAATCAAGTGTGCCTGCATGGCCATGTTCGCCTCGTCTCACCTGTGCACACTTTGCACAACGTGTGACCCAGCAGATCTGCAGGTCAACTGGAAAGAAGGGAGAAATGACAGGGCAGCCATTCCTTGTGTCACATCAGTAAGAAAAGCAGAATTACTGAGCCCCTAACCATAGAGAACTGTGATTTACACCACATGCTCCTTTAGGGTGAAATCACCCAACATATGCTTATTGAACTAAAAATGTCAGTCAGCTTAAGAATTTAATCGTGGAGGGGGGGATGTGTGGGGGGGGCTGTCAGGAGGCAAGCTCAGTGACTCCTCTCAATCCCAAAGCAAATGGACAAAGTGCCCACAGACACCAGTGAGTGCCAAGGTGAGCTGCTTCCCAAATTCACTACATCATGAGAAACGAAGGTGCGCTGTAAAGAACAGAGTCCTCTCCATCCAGGGTGTGGACGGAGCTAAAACTGCCCTAACTGTACGTAGTTTCTAGCTTCAGGAGAGGACCTGACAACATTTTTTATTTTATACTTAAAAAAAAAAAAGGAACAAGCACCAGAATAAAACAAATGGGCCTCTGAACCAGCTAACGGGCCTCTCAACCTCCCACGACAGAAACCTCTTATTTTTCATTTTCTTTTTTTAATTCCTCAAACCAAAGAGCTATTGTTTCCTAAATGAAAAGTAATTTTCTATTATGCATGCATCACACTATTTCTTCTGGAACACGTCTGTCTATCATATTTGGAATCAACCAGGAGCATTTCTTAACCACTGACAATACAAGCTGACTTTCAACATAATCCCTTGCGCAAAGATCTTGTCAAAAAAAAATTAATAAATCAGGGGCGAGGAAGGCGGAAGATGAGGAGGTCGCTGAGAGCTGGGAGGAGGCGGCAGACAGCAGGGAGATCCAAATTTCCTCCCAACATGCCCACTGTGACTCAGGACGATAGCCTTCCCACGCCCCTCACCCCCCAATGGATATGCATCCTCAAGGGGCTCACCAGAAACGGTGTGGTCAGCAGCCCCAACTCCACCAGCAGGCCAGCCCTTCCCGGCAAGTCCCCAGCACAGCAGGAGGCAAAGTAGGCCGAGGCCCAGAAGTGGATCCAGGGCAGCGCCAGCCCCGAGGAGGAACAAGAGAAACCCCTCCTCAACAGGCCGACCAGGATGTCCCAATCCAAAGACAGCGGGGCAGCCCAATAATGTGATCAGACAGCCTTCGGGCCCTGATGGGTCACAAGGCTTCAAACAGTGCAGATAAATGCGGGCAGGAAAGGATGCCACAGTCCCCGCCTCCTGGGTCGTCTGCCACAGGTCACACTGCCGTGGCAGACAGCTGGACTTGAGCAGAGGGGACAACCTGAGTTACCTGCACCGTGATTCCCTTTGCTCTGCTCACTGTGACCTTGAACCCCATGCACTGTGACCTTCCCCGTTGCCCCCTTCCCACCCAGTGTGATTGGCACATCTACAAGGGCTGTCCCAAGTCAACGGAAAGGGAAAGGGTGGAGGTTAGGGGAGAGCTGGGGGGACCCAGCGAGGACTCAGAGTAGAGAGTCAGACAGTGCCACTTGGCCACTTGGGGTCAAGCCAGCGCCAGCAATAAGTTTATCATGCTCATTAATTTGGGATTTCAAAACACAAATGAGAGCTCCCGTCCACCCACCCCCAAGTGCATGTCTTCATCACTTAAAAGCAAGTTCCTTTTGAAAACATCCTTTTTTTTTCCCCCCCTTCCTATTTTTGTGTGTTTATACAACTATCTGATTTGCAAGAAAAAGTGCATGGGAGGAGCTTTAGCAGTTTAATGAATTTTTCATTGAGAAAGGGTAGTTTGGTAGTCTGCTTAAAAATGTTTCCGGGAAATTCACTAGAAACATGAACCAACAGGATTTTGGTGAGCTGAGCTTCTGTATTCCTACTGCTGCCCAGAAAAGGGGCAGGGCTGTCTAGCCCCCAGGACAGATGAGCACCCCATGCTTCTACCTCCCTTCCCCCCAGCTAAGTCCCAGGGCTCACCTGGAGACTGGGCTAGTTCTAGAGGCCCTGAGAGCTTGGGGAGGGTGCCAACCCCACCTCAAGTATTTTGGGAGATGGGGAAAGTGAACAGACTTCCCCTTCTCGTACCCCTCAGGGTGGTTCCCTACCAGCCAGCCTTGCTACTTGCAGAAGAGAGCAGGGAGTGAGACCGCACTCCCGAGCTTAGAAGTAAGGGATGCGCGATGCTCAGTATTTTGCATCAGCACAAGGAAAGCCAGGAGAGAGTCTGGCTCCAGGACCCAGCCTCCTGCTAGTGTGGTCAGAAGGTGTCTGTGGGGCGCCGTCTCTGTGGATGGCATCAGCTTGGTAACTATAGCTGGTACCTTTCCTTTGTGAAATCACTACCTGGGGAGTAGGCCATCCTGAGTACATGTGGGAAGAGACAGGCTGTGTGTTGCAAGGATTGGTGATGACAGGCTGATTCCCCATAGACCTAGGCTACCCTTCACCCCTTTTCCAGAGCGAGGGCCTGGAATGAAGGCAGCCTCGCCTCTGTGCCTGGAACCTAGAGCTTTGCTTTGGCTCCTGGAGGTGGAAGAGGCTGAGGGCAGCTGCCCAGAGCAGCTGTGTGTGTCCAGCCTGGCTCCTCTCAGGCTTGCGGGTCTCCTTCCGCTGCACTGCGCCTTATCCCTCAGCCAGCCAGCCAGCCTCCCACTCAGTGGATGAGTTTTGGAGTGGTAGGTGTGACGTTTTGTGATTTGGGCAGCTTTGTAGTGGCTAAGATGGCAGGCTAGGTTTTGCGGGCTCACGTCCCCTTCGGTTTGCCTCTCAGCCTTGCGCTGTGGGAATGTGGGCCAGGCCCAGCAAGCCATGTCCCACTATTCCTTCCCCTTAGAAGGAAGGGCCAGCTGCTGGCTGAAGCAGCAGCTAGTCCGCAGCACAGCCTTCTAACTGTGTGAAGCCCGGAAACTGTCCGCAAGCAGAGCTGGCACAGAACGGAGCTTACTCAGTCAGAACCCAAGCGTGTTGCGTTGTGCCCACAGACTGTTCTGATGGGGAATTTTACCTCCAGGAGTGGGCAAGGGAGAGGGTTGGCCGCTGTCTTTCTAGTTCCACTGCCCTGACCAGGCTTCCTGTATAGTGTCCGTCTGTATAGTGTCCGTCCCTCATGTAAGAGTGGCTTCTGGCCCAAAGTGAGACTATCCTTTCTGGTGGAGAAGGGGAGAGGTAGGCCAGCTGGGAAGGCCAGAAGTGCCGATCGCTCAGCCATTGGGACCACCTGTTCCTGCCACGTTCCCCTACCGGTAGCCAGAGGGAAGATGGCTGACAGGTGTGTGTGTGTGGATTGAGGATGTTGTAGGGTCTGGTGTTCCCACCTCCTTCTGGCCAAAGATGGGTTTCTGCCCGCCATGTGCCTGTCACCATCCACCAGCAGTCATACCCTTGGCTTCCAGATGAAGAGGAGGCAGGCAAAATTTTTTTAAAAAAAGAAATGAAAACAGGAAGCTATTGTGTTGGGGGGAGATGAGAGGGCAGATAGAACAGTCTGGGCTTTGTGTGTATGTGTGTGTGGTTTGGGGCTTTTGGGGTTTTTTTTGGTAGTTGTCTGTAGCCTTCCTTAAGTACTTTTATTTCTTTTTTTTTTTTTTTAAAGGAAGCTGCAAGCTTTGGCTTGGAAAATCCCAGGGGAATAGGGGGGGGGGCAGAAACCTGAGACTGTTGCCTTTTTATCTGCCTTCATGATCCTGCCCCCATGAGCCAGGCCTCAGACCTCTCAGCTAACCGCTTCCCATGAGCCACTACTCTGATGTGAGCCACTATTGTGATGTCACCGCTTCCCATGATGTCAGCCTATAACCAAAGGAGCTGGGGGTCTGGGCCTGGTGACCACCCCTTCTCAGCCCACTCAGGGTGCTCCCCACCTGCAGGCAGGAGGCAACACCCTATCTGCTACCATCAGCCCCTTCCAGAGCCCACTGCCCCGCCCTGCCCAGCCCAGCCCAGCCATACCCGGCTCTCCCCCACCTGGGGATGCTCTGCTCAGGGATGGGCCATCAGGGCCACCTCAGGCTCCCTGGGAAGCAGAAACCCTGGAACCCTCTGGAGTCCTGTTTTCCAGCCATGTGATCCCAAGGATGCACACAGGCCCCTTGGGTGTCTGAACAGAAGGGCATGGAAGGGAGGGCCGCATCCCTGCAGTCCTGCTCTGTTTGTCTAGCGGCATTTGCCCACTCCACCCCACTCCGCACTGTGGGCTCCTGAAAAAGGCTAAGGATATAAAAAACACTCACAAAATGCTGGCTCCCTCCTTTCTTTCCCCTGGTACTGGCTATTTATTTAGGCACAACTCAAGGCCCCTGGCAAAAACAGCACACGCTATAGCCTCTGAAAGTGACATTCTTTGGCAACTCCTTCATCCCTATATGCTAGGTTCTTCCTGCAAAAAAACACGTAGTCACCTAAGAGTCACAGGTCTGGCTTGCTGACGTGCCATGAAGATTTAAAGCTAATCTAGTAGCATCGACACTGGCACTGAGAGCAAGAATTCTGTCCCTACCATGGCCACATTGCCACCCACTGTTTCGTCCCTGACCTCACCTCCAAGGCTCCCTTCCTTGTCCACACAGCTCTGGCCACTGGCCTGGGTGCTCCTCCAACATGCCACAAGGCTTCCACCCCAGGACGTTTGCCCTTGCTGGTCCCCACCCTGGCACCCCCAGATACCCACAGGGCCGGCCCCTAACATCACTCCAGGTCTCTGTTCAATCATGGCCTCATCAGAACGCTCTCTGTAATCACAGTCCTTTAACTCTTTCTATTCCTTCACCCTGTTTCAGTTTTCTTACCACCTGACATATTACATAAGGGGTTGGCAAACTTTTTCTGTAAAGGGCCAGAGACTAAATATTTTAGACTTTACAGTAAGCCATACAGTCACTGTTGCAGATATTCCACTCTGCTGCTCTAGTGCAAAAGCTGCCAGAGACCATATGTAAAGGAAGGAATGTGGTTGTGTTTCAATAAAACTTTATTTGCAAAAGCAAGTGGTGGGCCAGGTTTGACCCATGGGCCATAGTTTGCTGAGCCCGTATCATACGTTTATTCATGAGTTGGCTGTCCATCTACCACTACTGTCATATCATAACCTCCCTCAGGGAAGTAATGACTCTATTCTGTTTTGTCTACTGCCATATCCCCAAGTCCCTGGGGGAGCTCTAGGAGTTGAACAAATGATGCTTCTGGTTTGTCAAGCCCTTTACAACCCACTGCTAGATTTATGATCATCTGGTTATAGGTATTTGAACATGATAGCCAAAGAGGACATGTGACTGCCTGAAGGGCACACAATGAAGTCCCCTAGGTTTTATTCAGAATAGAGGGGACATATCAGACGAACTTAAAATGAAAGAGAATGGTGCCCACTTAGCTATAATAAGTTGACACTGGATCGCATTACAATAAGAAGGCAGAGAGACCCCATTTCAGAACAGAAGACTTAACCACAAATGGCTGCATACGACTGCCCCTACATGGCCTTGTCCTGCACAAAAGCTGACCACAAATGCCCCGACACACACGTGGTGCAGGGTCCACGCTGGGGATGGAGGCACGCGCCGCCCCTCCCTCCTGCCCACGCAGGCCCCACTGGGAATTCCGGCTCCCCTACCTTCTTCACAGACAGGTCGTGGTCCAAGTCGCTCCCTGAATCCTCCTCGGGCTGCTGCCGCTCCTGCAGACCCTTCATCTTAATCAGCAGCTCCGCCTTGGGGGCCGACGTGCTGTAGTATGTGGAACTGGTGGCCAGGGACACAGCCGCCGGCACGCTCGGCTCCTCTTTCCTGAGTAAAAACATCAGAACTTCAATTAGCTGCGACTGTCCGCACAGACGTGCCCCTCAGCCCGGCTCAGTCTCCGGGGTGGGAGACAGTGCGGCGCGAACAGAAGGACAGCAGCCAAAGAGATGAGACTGCAAAAGGAGGAAAAGTAGGCGACAAGGTTAGGACTAAAAAAAATACCTTGCCAAATGGATACCCATCAAGTCTATGGAATGTGGTTATTAATGGGGAAACGTCGATAAGGAGGGATGTCTAAAGACCCCCCTGTCTGGGAGGGAAGAGTGTAGACAGACAGCTTTTGCTGGAGTCCGAGGTCCATGAGAACGACATGTGTGCCACTCTCTGTAAGGGGGGGCATCTTGCACCCTCCTACCAGCAGCCATGTTAGCTGCCTCTTGCTCTGGTCCTGTCTCGCCCTATTCTCCTCGTCTGCTGCACTGCACTGGCACTCCAGCCTACTGTCACTAAAGGATGCTTATGGAGACAACAGACGTCAGCCACGGAAGGCGGAATCACGTACACCTCTGCAGGCAGACGACTGAATGACAGATGCTGAAAAGTGCGGCTTACAAAGCCAATCAAAACGAACTCACTTGCTGAGAAACAGACAGCTGTATCTCCTCTTTAATAAACACAAGGGCAGACCCAGCAGTCTAAGCCGCACTTCCCTTAGGACCGATTTCTGGACCTCAGCACTAGTGACATTTGGGGTGGAATCACTCTTCACTGTAGGGCCATCCTGTGCACTGTAGTATGTTCAGCGGTGTCCCTGGTCTCTACCCGCTAGATGCCAAGAGAGCCTCTCCCAGCTGTGACGACCAAAACTGTCCCCAGATATCACGAACTGTCTCCTGGGGGAGACAACGGCTGGAGAACCTCTGTGTCATGAGAAAGCAGCCGTGCGGGCAGCACCGTAAGCCAGCACTGGCCTCAAGCCAAGAAAGCACGGGCACTGCAGTGTTTTCACATCTTTGCCAGGCCTTGAAGTCACCACCCCGCAGGAACAGGGACCTCAATGCCTCAGCGTCTCCTTCAGCACAGCCGCAGAGAGCCGAAAAGTGCTGCGCGCTGGGGACAGCCTTAGGAAAACCTGTCCCTCCAAGAGCAATCATGAAAACACATAAACACACATGCCCCCTCGCCCTCTGAGGCCTAAGAGAGGCTGGCAGACGCACACACACTCAGCCAGCTGCACCGCCAAGGACAATGCGTACTCACTTCTCCTCCATGGTTCTGGGAGAGGGGATTTTGGGGAGCAGCTTCCTGCGCTGCTGAGCTTCTTCCAAGAGGTGCTCGTCCTTGGGGAAAATGCCCTCCATCAGGTCCATGGTGGTTCTGATCTTCACGCTGGGGTCCAGGATCTCGGCCAGGGACTTATCCTTCCCCACGATCTCCCGGGCCAGCTCCTCCGACTTCACGTCTTCGGCCGTCCTCTCTCGAGCCTTCACGTAGCTGAGGGCAGGCGGAGAGGCCCGGCCGTCGCTGGCGGCGGGAGGCTGGGCCCGGGGCTCGGGCTCGGCGCCCGGGCGGCTGTACAGGCAGAAACGCGAGTAGGACTGCTCCGATGTGCTCAGCGTCTTGATCTGGTCTCTCTCCAGCCCGCTGGGCAGCGCGGGCAGCTCGGCAGCGTGGGCCAGGCCCTGGCGGCTGTCCTTCTCCGGCTGGCTCTCTGAGTGCACAATCTTGATGGGCACCATCTTCACAGTGGTGTTGCTGTCAATCACCCGCTCGATTCTGGAAAGAGAAGAGCCATCGGCTGACAATGCACAGTGCGTCTACCCAGGATGAGAAATTGCTGGTCCCCTCACCTCCCCGTACTGATGGGAACCCTGACTCAAACACCTGCAGTCACCCCACTGGAAGGGGCCTCCGTGATCACAGGGCCCAGGACGGCAGGAAGAGGAGGCCAGGGAGTCCCCTGCTGCCCCTAATTTGGTCTCTGGACTGTCGGCATCCAGGCACCTTGCTTTCCATTTTCTAGTAGTCACCCACGCACCTCCAGGGGCCTGAGAGCATAGGCACATTCATTTGTTTTCGTGTCAATGACGGTGCAAACTCTGAGCACCCCCCTACCTCCCCAGTGAAACATTCTTTTGTAAGGAAAGCTGCAATGGACAGGCATTTTTCACACAATTACCATGAGTGCCTTCGGTCAGTGTTTCTCAAAGCAGGGTGGGTGCCTGTATGGTTCTCAAGGCTGCAAGAGGACTTCTATAAAGAGTGGCTATGGGGCCGGCCGAGCGGCACGATGGTTAAGAGCTGGCTTGGGATGCCAGAGAGCCCCGGTTCGGATCCCACATATGAGGGCCAGTGACACTGCCCTCTACAGCTAAGATGCTGAACAACAGTTCAACCTGGAGCTGGGCCGCCATGAGTCGCCGGCGACGGCGTAGGCTGCAGCCCCTGTGGCAGTGGGTTGCCATGGGCTACCGTGTGTAGCCAGCAGCCAACGTGAACAGCCAGCAGCCAGCGTGAGCGGCCAGCAGCCGCAGTGAGCGGCCGTCCAGAAGCCGGCGACTGGTCTGCCTCGCCCGGGAAGAGCGCAATGATGGTGCCAACTTGGGCCAGTGAAGCAACGTCCTCCACAACTAGACTGAAGAACAAAAAGGACAGCAACTTGTCTGTTCCCCTCCCCCCAATTCCCCAGCACTGTTCCCATCCCCCCCCCAATTCCCCAATAAAAATCTAAAAAAAAAAAAAGAGTGGCTATGTTTGATGTGAATGTGAGTGCCACCCAGCCCCAGCCCCAATTTCAAGCTCCCCTATATTCTGTGGGCACTGGGTGTCACTCTCCACTTGCCTGCCACCACCCAACACTTCACCTCACCCTTCACGTGGCTTTTCATACCAGTGAGATAAGGATCTGGCAACAAACACGAAACATATTTCTTCTGCATCATTTTAAGTGACTCACCAAGGACACACTTTTCCTTTTAAAATTAAAAAAAATAAATTTCTTTGGTGCAAGGAGCTGGAGGGGGCACCTGAGCACCCACAGGGAAGAGAGGAAATAAAAACAAAAACTCTGGTTAATATGGTGGCACTGCATCCAGGACAACCCAAATGCCAGCTGGGCCCTCAGCCACACTCACTGCACCACACCTAGGATCCTATGGAGGAGGGCCCCCAGGACAAAAAAACGGGTCCAAGTATTTTTAAAGAACATATCGGAGAAAGAGAGCCATTTACTGGCGCTCAGGAGGAAATTAAAAAAAAAAAAAAACAAGCCCAGATCACAACCCAAACTCCAAACTTACTTCTAACTCGATGGGTTTTAACATCATTTCTCCACGTGACCCTAACAGATAAATTTATGGAGAACAAGGGAACCTCTGATACTCTAAATTAAATGCCATTTTTCACCCTTTAACTGGTGGCTGGGAACGTAGCATGGCTCTTTCTCTGGTCATAAGGATGTGGAGTGAAGGCTAAAACAAAATGCCATTTAGATTTGCTAAACTTCAGAGGGAAAATTCTGGCTTTTTTCTCCAAGCAAGAACAAACAACAACCCCTCTCCATGCCTTTCATTGCCCACTTACAAACCCTGACCATCACTTAATGACTTTTCAGCCAGCCTGTATCTTCCCCCAAGCAAGGACAAACTTGATTCCCGGCGAAGGAAGAAGTATTTGGGGGGGTGAGGGGGGACAAGGACAAGTCCTCTCCAGGTTGACATAACTTTCCAACAAAGCATCTCTCCCTGGTCATTTCTAAGCGCAAATGGTCTCTCCTCTTGAAAACCGCACAAATTTCCACATTAAATAAGTGTGATGAACTTTCACTTCATCAAACTTAGGAGAAAACACCATACGTTACTTCATCAAAATGAGGAGAAAACAGTGGGTTAGACCTTACCGCAACCAGATCTCATTGCTTCCTAATCAAAAGGCAGGACCCGGAGGTACAGTGGAGGAAGGGTGTGCCAAGCGCCGGTGACCTCTACGGGAGGCGGCTGCTCTCGGAGTGCAGCTTTCTCCAGGTAAGTCACCTGCTGCCCACAGGGGCCCAGCCCCTAACGTCAAACAGTCCACCCAGCTGTGCTCACACAGCCACTCCCGGGAGCCGGTCAGCCTGCATGCCATTCTGGGTCTGATAAACTATGCGCCCCACTCAGGCGACTCTCCAGCACGATGCTCGAGTTGGCAGGGATCATACTATGTAAAGGACCCAGGCAGAGCAGCCCTCCTGGCTGGCTCCCTGATGTCACAGAAAGAGGCTTCAGGACAACACCGAGAACAACACTGGGAGCGGTGAAAGCTCTAACTGTCAAAGCTTCCAGGTCCTGGCCATGGTCTCCATTTTGTAGTTAAACAAACAAACACACAGGGGTGGCCAGATAAGAGAGTGAGCTCTGAACAACAGGGCTGTTGCTTCGATTCCCACAAAAGGGGCAGTAAGCTACACCCTCTACAGCTAAGATGGTGAACAACGGCTCGACCTGGAGCTGGGCTGCTGTGAGTGGCTGGCGTGAGCTGCCGGCCAATGGACATTGACCGACTGCCTCAGCTGGGTAGAGCACAATTATCATAATACCAACATGGGCCAGTGAGTGGCGTCCTCCTCCACAAGTAGACGGAGAATGGCCAGGGCGGGGAGGGGTGAGAGGAACTGACAAACGAAAATCTCAGAGAATTTCCAAAGACGTAAAAATAAGCTTCCTAGCTTTAGGGCAGATGTTGATGCATTTGGAATGAATGACTACTCTGCACACCGCACCCCTGTAGGTGGGAACATTGCATTGTCTTTTTCTCTGCACGCCTGCTGCCAACTTGAGGCCCTGCTCACGGGAGCTGCTCAACACCTGCCTGCTGAATTTGGGGACATGCAGCTGCTCTGCACCCTGGTCAGCTCCCCCGCAGGTGGTGAGAGCTTGCGATGGAGGGAAAGTGGGAGCGGGGAGATGAGGTGGGGGGTTAATGCTCAAGAAATCGAGGCACCAGAAGCCAGGACATGAAGAGCATCTCTGAGCTGCACCCACAGGACAGGCAACCTTGGAGGCCCCGTCTGGGGCGTGCGGCACTTGCTGGCCTGTCTGTAGTTGATCGCGGAACAGGGCGGGCCCGGGGCTCTCGCTGAGCACCAGCCTCTCCTTGGTCTTGTATGTCATTGAGATTCCACATGCTCATACCAGGACTTCCCGATAATACATGCCCTTGGGGACAATGACATTTAATGCATGGCATTATGAGAGCCTTCCTTGGTAGCTGCTTTCATAGGTGGCACGGCCACCACTTATCTGTGCTACTGTGTTCCCAGAGAAGCGCAAAGGGGACAGCTCCGGACACTGAAATTCAGGTTCGCTGCGAAGCCTTGTAAAGCAAAGATACAGGTTCACGGACAACCTTTGTTATCCCAAATGACATGGTGGATGGAACTCTAATAATGTGGGCGTCCAAAGACCCTCGTCGTATGTTCCATAAGCACTGTCACTGCTTGTCAAAGTCCCTCTCAAACTCTCAGAAAATCAACACTCACTTGGGGCAAGGAAAAAATTAAAAATAGTCCCCACCTCCTAGAGCCAAGTCAGGTCAAGGGCACTTGGCTTTGTTTCTCCAGGAGCCCGCCTTGCAGGGAGCAGCTCCGGAGAACTGAGGGTGCCTGTGCCAGCTTGCTTGTGACAATATCGTCCACTCGACCCACCACACAGACCACTTTCTGGCTTTTCCTTCCTTTCAGAACTCAGCGTTCGCGAGTGAAAGGCTATTTAAGTGACATCTGCATTGGGAATGATACCAGGCACAGAGCTGGTAACTCGAGATTCTAGGGCAGTGAGGTCCAATGCAACTGTCTGGGATAACGGCAACAGCTGGTATCTGTGCCGTCCAGTGTGCTGTCCACTAGCCACATGAGGGGCAACAAAGGAACCAATTTTGTTCCATTTAATTTCATTAACTTGCATTCCTACAGCCACATGTGACCGGTGGCTACTGTACTGGACAGTACTGGCATTCGGTCCTGGGTGATTCCTTGCTGTGGGGGCCGTCCTGTGCAACATTGCCAAATGTCCCCGGAGGGATCAAAATCGCCCTCCCCCACGGTGAGAACCGGTGCTCTAGAGAATGACATGGATTTTCTCCACATCCTTCATTTCTCCATTCTTGAAAGGCAGTGCACGAAGCTAAAAGTCCTACTCTTGATGGGTCAGTACCCACCTGCCAGCCATCTATCAACATCTCAAAGGGCACGACAGACAATGCCACACCTGAAATTCTGACAACAGCACCAAGGAATGTAATCGGTTTCTCTTCTGCTTTCATACGGGGTGTATGCCAGCTTAGCTTTTTTTCACAGAAAGAGATTATGGACAAAAAGGAATATGGAAATATTGCCTATTGAGAAAAACAGCCCTTGTGCCTGAAGGTCTCGTGCTTAGGTAACAGGGGATGTGACTTACAAAGAGAAATTGCTCAGAAAACCCACAGCTCTAGTCTGTGGATGCCTTCAGGTCTCACTAATAAAAGTGTTTCGGACTTGATGAAGGGTGGGGGGTGGGGGGGACAGGGAGGGGCTGTCTACCACCTCCTTCACATCCCTGTGCGAAAGGGCAGCTCCCCAACAAGTTAGGAGGCCCCCAACTGGAGCTGCGGCCCTCCCCTGCGTAGCTCTTCCCAGGACCAACTTACAATCCAGCGCCTGGAGGAAAAACGAGGCGCCAGCAATTCAGCGCCCAGGGAGGACATACTGGAAACCTCCCGCCGTCGGAAGGGAGCTGGCGAAAGGGGCAGAATGCATAAGGCCCCCATCCCAGGGCAGTACCTTGTTGAACTCTCGTCCTGAATGAGCAGCGGGGGTTTGTCGGTCAGCTTCTGAGGGGCAAACTGAGGTGAAGGAGAGCGAGACGTCTCCATGGCGGACGTCTGCAGGGCCCGGAACCTGGAAGGGAGCAGAGCTTCCCGCTTAGGACAGGCCGTGTGCTCATCTACTTGCTGCCGGTCGTGCTGCCCGGGGGCCTGCGGGCCGTTTGCAGGCTGGACACCGCTGAGCTTGTCCACCGAGGCACAGGGGCTGCGGGAGAGGGACAGGCGGTCCACGCACACCTCCAGGGCTGCAGGGGACGGTGATGGGAGCGGCCTGCCAGGCGAGGCCAGGTGATTGGCCGCAGGTGCGCCCGCAGGTGCAGTGCCGGTGGGGCCCCTGAAAGGCCTGGGCTCCCGCTTGGGCGGCGGTGGCCTCTGTGGGGCTGGTCTCTTGGCGAGCGGCGCAGCGTTCACGGGCCGTGGGTCCTGCCCCCGGGCGTGCGGGGCCGAGAGACTGCTCTGTGCTTGAGGTCCCGGGACGGGTGGTGGTAGCGGTGGGTCTGCGGGCGTGTGGTCCTCTGAGTACCTGTAATCGCGAGGTAGAGTCCCTGCTCGGCTACGGCCCTCCCGGGGCCCCGCTGGAGCTTCCTGGGCGTGAGGCTGCTCAGAGACCTGGGACGGGCTCCGTGGGTCCCGCTGGGCACCTGGCCTGCCTTCTGGACACTGGGCATCAGCTTGTCTAGAGGAAGAACAAATAACAATGAGCAAACCATTCCAATGAACATGTTTTTCCTAAACGGACTGGACCCAGATCTTGCTCATCTCCTTACAGCATTGTAAAGAATTAAATCCACATACATTTTCCCGCACCTGTCCCTACTGCAGTGCTTAATGAATGCAAGGTATTGAGACCAAACACACACTGGACACCACCAGGCCACATGCTGGCATGTCATACAACAGGACGTGAGGTATTAAAAGCATGTGCACACATATTAGATACCCACGCACACGTACATGTACACACATACTACATTTGGGGGTAAAAACAAAATCTATGCAAACATTTTATTTTTTTAAAGATTTTATTGGGGAATTAGGGGGAGGGGAACAGCGTTGGCGAATCAGGGAAGGGGAACCAACAGGTAGACAAATTGCTGTTTTTGCTCTTCAGTCTAGTTGTGGAGGACACGCTTCACTGGCCCATGTTGGTTTGATCATTGTGCTCTTCCCAGGTGAGGCAATCGGTCGCCAGTCATTGGTCAGCCGCTCACAGCGGCTCCCGGCAGCTCACACCGGCTGCCGGCCACTCACACTGGCTGCCAGCCACTCAGGTAGCTCACGGCAGCCCCGCTGCAGCCTACGCCGTCGCCGGCGACTCACAGCAGCCCAGCTCCAGGTCAAGCTGTTGTTCACCATCTTAGCTGTAGAGGGCGCAGGGTCACTGGCTCTCAATGTGGGATTGGAACCGCAGCCCTGCTGCTCAGAGCTGGCACTCCTAAGCGAGCTCTTAACCAGCTGAGCCACTCAGCCGGCCCTCTATACAAACATTTTAAAAAGCAATATTTGTGAAAATTCTCATATACAGCTCTATTCAGGAATATTTATTTCATGGTGCAACAACATTTTTATTTGGTTTTTTTCAGGAAATTGCCAAATTCAAAGGGATAGAACTTTCTAAGATGGGCGGCAAATACATTTATTAACAAAACCTTTAAAATCAGTAGTGTATTATTAAAAATGAAAAGGAAAAAAAGACTTTCTTTTTGAAGCTGCAATGACTCATTGACCTTTCCATTTCCTTTTCTATTTCTATCTTTCCATATGTACGTACATATTTATATGCGCACACACACACATAAACATGCCTGCAAATCACATGCATGCATGCATCACATGCATATTTCTCTGTGCCGTTGCTCAAGCTTACGGGCTAACAACTATCGAACTTGCAACAGATCAGCCAGCCATGCCTTCGCCAACACACTGCTTCTTCCTACCCAACGGAGCAATGAGCTGAGCCTCTGCCTGACTCTCCCAGGCAAGGGAAGAGCTGTTTTCTATTGACAAGACATGCTGCGTTCTTAAAGGAGACTCTCACAAGGGCAGCAAACAGAGAACCAGTAGGTAGAGAATAAGGGCCCATAAGAGATGTAACCTATTAGCTAACAAGCAGAATAGGGCACCATCCCGACAACCAGAGCCCCCTGGAGTCCCAGAAGTGCACCTGCCACCTGGGACACGACACCTGGCCTGGGAGTTACAGATGTCCCAACCCTATCCAGGCCACTGCACAGCAAGTCAAGTGCCCTGTGCATGTCCCTCTTGCTATGTCCTCAGGAGAAAGGTCCCCTCCAAGTTCAACTGATGGCGAAGCCATGGACTTAACTTAGAAAACAAGCCGTGATGGGCCGGCCGAGTGGCGCGATGGTTAAGAACTCGCTTGGGATGCCAGAGGGCCCCGGTTCGGATCCCACATATGAGGGCCAGTGACACTGCCCTCCACAGCTAAGATGCTGAACAACAGCTCAACCTGGAGCTGGGCTGCCATGAGTCGCCGGCGACGGCGTGGGCTGCAGTCCCTGTGGCAGTGGATTGCCATGGGCTACCGTGTGTGGCCAGCAGCCAGCGTGAGCGGCCAGCAGCCGCAGTGAGCGGCCGTCCAGAAGCCGGCGACTGATCTGCCTCGCCAGAGAAGAGCGCAATGATGGTGCCAACTTGGGCCAGTGAAGCAACGTCCTCCACAACTAGACTGAAGAACAAAATGAACAAAAAAACAACAGCAACTTGTCTGTTCCCCTTCCCCCAATTCCCCAGCATTGTTCCCATCCCCCCAATTCCCCAATAAAAATCTTAAAAAAAAAAAAAGAAAACAAGCCGTGATGAAACGGCCAAGTATAAGAGCTTAAGAAAAATATCAACCCAGTTTGGGAAATCAGATTTTTTTTTTCAAATGTGTATTAGGTACACACTAAGAGAAACTAGAAGTTATCAAAATAACTTGAATAGAGCAATGAATGGTTTAGAGAACCATACACCATCAAGCAACTGTGTGGTTACAAAGTTCAGAATGGCATTTAAACACTGTCAAATCGACAGCACAGACTGAGAGTTCAGATGGCCTGCCCTGGAGAAGTGAAGACCCGGTCACTCTTCCATTTAAGCCATTGTGCCTCTGAGGCCAGGAAAACCTACTTTATGACAATTCACAAATGCCTCCCCAACATTTCATTCCAAAGACTGGAGGTACACACATTTTCTTTTTCTCCTATTAATAAAACCCTTGAAATCTAGCATCCAGAGACCCGCACAAAAGCACCTGTTATTTAATAAATACCCGCCACCTCATAGAAACAGAGAATTAAATTAGCTAATTTACTACTAAAATCTAAGTGCCTTTGGCCGTGTGGATTCACAGTTAATGTGCTAATTTAAAAAGGAGCTCTATTTGCAAAGGGCCTTAGACAGGACGTGGTCTGGGATCTACCCAGAAACAAATGAGAACTCACTTGAGAGAGCAAAGCCCCCTGGGAAGTAAACAGTGACTCAGGTGGGGTCCTGGCTTCTCTCTCAGTTAGAAGGCACAGGGGCTCCTGCCTGTCTTCCTGACGGGGCATCCTTTGCAGGGCTGCAGGGCTCTCTGTTCCCTAGGGGGGTCGTGCACAGAGCACGGTCCCTTCTCATCCTGGAGGTGTGGCTCATTGTGCCGCACCCCAACATTTCACTTTAGATTCACATTAGCACAGACATTTTACTTTAGATTCACATTAGCACAATGACTTACGAACCAAGTTTGCCCCACCCTTCTTTCTTTTTTCCTGATTCCTCCCCCACAAAACTGCAAAGTCAAAACCATGAAACCACTCAACGGTTTTTATTACCACAGTTGATAAGAAATCAGGGAACTGGGGTCAAAAAAGCGACCAAAGATGGAAATTTGGGGTTCTGCTGGTGTCATATTCCAATCTGTGTTTCTAATAGATTCCAAGTGATGACTGTGGAGATAGTGTGTATGTGTTTAGGTATGTGTGTCTGTATAATGTATGTTAAACATGTGTGTGTGTGTGTGTGTGTTTGTGTATAATGTATGTAGATAGATTTTTTTTTTTTAAGGATAAAGTCAATGGTGATGGCAAGATCCAGAAACAGGAAAAGCAAAAAACAGAAGATGATTTCAGGACTTAGCCAGTGAAAGCAGCTAAGCACCTCCCTGCACAAGCTCCTAGGTACCATTTCCCCGATAATAAGACCTAGCTGGAAAATAAGCCCTCGCATGATTTTAGGTGCCAAAATATGGCACCGTGGCGTACTGAATATTTTAAGCCGAAGGAGTTGGTGGAAAAGGCGCCCTTCTCCCTGAAACGGGTCATAAAACCCTCATGTGACGGGTGCGTGCCCTCCATATCCTGGAGGAATCACGCTACAGCTTATTCTCCAGCTAGGTCTTATTTTCGGGGAAACAAGGTGTGCGTATAATTGTATACACTGAGCAGTGAATCACGTCAAGCCATACAGGGAAATGAACAAGGCAGCTCATTCCAGAGTCCCGGAAATTGAAATTCAGGCTAGGTTGGCTATTCGTGCTTATGCAGAACATGCTAATGACATGTCGCCAAGGAGAGAACAGCTCGTGCAGCTGCAGGAGGAGGGACGGAGGGCAGGCGGGCTCTACGCCTGGCCCAGGAGACCTCCAGGAGCCCGGGGCCATGCTGTTTTCATTGCGCTGGCTGCTGCCACAGGAAATGGGGAGGCGAGGGTCTGTGCTGAGACCACGAAGCAAAGTACAGCTGAACTGAAGAGGAAACATCGGGAGGAAATGCCATGCTAAATGCTCTCAGTCATGCAGACACCCTGTGATAGGACAGAAATCACTGTACTGTTAAGCAATGGGTGTGTACGCACATGCGATCAAACGCCCTTGAAATCCTGTCCACTGCCATTATTCAAATCTACGTTTTTTATCTTGGTATGGAGCCGGCCAGCCCCACGTCGAAATGTGGATGCCTCATCGGAAAGGTGGCAGTTTTATTACCAGCTTCCATTGGTTTGTGACGAGCCCCGTGACGTGACTGGACTCCTTTCTCGGGGTGTTGGTTTTCCGCTCCCTGCCTCCACATCTTCTGCACAGCTGGCTGTCACACGGGTCCTCAGTTCCACCAGCCCCGCTGTCCCCCCCATCTCCACGTCACCCCTAGCATAGGACGTGTCCCTCTCTCCAATTCCTGTACTGTCTCCACTCTCGTCACTGGGCTGTGAGCGCCTCTGTGGCGGCCAGGGAGCCGAGCTATCCTCTTCCAGGCCTCACAAAGTATTACTGGGTTGTCGGGAAAGTCATGACATATTTTTCTATGTTTTTCAATGCACAAGTGCGTTATGACTTTCCCGACGACCCAATATATTTATTCCATGCACTCTGTCATGCCGCCCCCTGAATGTCCATCAAACATATAAATGCATTTGCTGCTTTCAGTCACTGTGCAGACTGGTACAAAAGAAAGACACATTTTTTTTGAGATACAGGCAGTTAAGTTCTCAGTGAAATAACCTTGCATGTGAACATTCCCAATATAACTAGGCTTTTTTTTTAATTATTATTAATTTTTGGACTGCTCTGTCAGTACTAAATAATTCACACCACAAGCTTTAGGGTTACCCAGTACCTTCAGCACTCAAGACAGGAGAATTTCGGACTCTTTTGGACTTCAGTAACATACACTGGGGGCGGGTGGGTCCTCATTT